CCTAATGTAATTTTCGAAGATATTAAAGATAATAATGCAAAAAACTAAATTTATTAAAAGTAATAGGCTTTATGTTTCTTAAACTACCTACATTTGTCAAAGTATTTATGAATTTTCGAAAATATTCGTCCACTAGTTTTATTGTTGGAATGAAATATAGCAAGACTTGCAATGCCTACTAAGAAAGTTAGTAGCTGGTAGTCATTGGTTTAATGTCTTGGAGTTGCTGACAGTTCATCATGCTATGATTCACTTCTAGTCATATGTTCGGGGGCATTCATTGATGGTCCACTGACAATTCAATAGTAGTGTCTTATATCACCAGTCAATGGGATAACTGGTCATGAGATCTTTGTTTCCGAACATTGAATCTCCTCTACTGGGCCCACAGTCATCACATTAGATTGTTAGCATGTCATATTCCAGGTGCCCCAAATCTGGTCGTTGACTGATTATCTAGGCCCAACAAGATTCTCCCGGCAGAGTGTTTATTAGATCTGCAGGTGTTTTGGGAATTGTGTGCTCATTGGGGTACTCCATATGTGGATACTTTTACCACACATCTCAATGCACAACTTCCCTGTTTTTGGTCTCTCATTCTTCATCCTTTGGCAGAAGCTGTAGATGCTTTCCATCAAAACAGGAAAGGATATTAACTGTATGCATATGCTCCTATTTGTCTTCTTCACAGGGTCCTTTCATTGATTCAGACTACTCCATGTCATATGCTCCTAGTGGCTCTGTTTTGGTCTGCTCAAATGTGGTTTCCACTTCAGCACAGGATTTTGGTGTCACCATACCTTCTTTTGCCATTGTCTCGCATGTTTCTTTGTCAACTTGAGTCAGGCATGTGTCATCCATCCATTCCCGCCCTCTGACTTTATGTGTGGCTTTTGTCTAATCCCTCACCAGATGATCCGGATTTTCCAGCCGTGTTTGCCTCAATGATTCCCTGTCCTGTGCATTCTTCTTCCTTGACAGTTTATCAGTGTAAGTGGTATACTTTTTGCTGCTGGTCATTCTGCTGTTGATATTGTCATTCACAACCTTCCCTGCCACAGTTGACTACATTTTTTCATTTGGCTTTTCGATAGGGGACTGTGAGTTTCCTCGAATGCCGGCTATTGAGCTGTATTATTTTACACATTCAGATTTACTGATTTTGCTTGTATCATCTAATCTCCCATGATGTCCCTGGCTGCCTATTTCCATTTTTCTTTGGAGACATCATCCCATGTATGTGGACTATACCTCATACCTTTGTTAAAAATTATTTACATCAAATGGCCATTTGTTGCTCAATGGGTTTTCATTTACCTCCAGTCGCCATGTTACACACTGCAGTGTCATTATGAGTGGTGATTACTATGTTTTGGTTATTTTTATATTTACAGGAGTCTTTTGGTTAGTGTATTGTGGATCCTACTCTGTGACAAGGGGTGCCTGACCAGGTACACTTTTTCTTAAAAAATCCATCCTGTGACTATGCTCGATGTCAATTACGTTACAGCTCTTCCTACTGTGGACCTGATGCACAATTCCAGATACCACCAAGTGTTGGTTGTGTGTCCATTCAATTGTCATGTATGCTGAAACATTTATGTTGCAGGATTAGGTTACACACACTGTAGAGATGGGGTGTTCCGTAGGACTGCTAGTAGTTCTCTCTAGTGATCTTTTGCTTCATAACTATGTTTATCTCAGACTGTACACTCATGGACACACACTGACCTGGTGTACAATTCCAGGTGCTTCTGGGTGTTGGTTAAAGCACTCTGCCATGTCACAACTATATATATATATTGCAGTTTTCCCCTCAGGCTGAAATGTTCCTCCTATCTATGTACCATCCTCCAGATGCAGTTCCCGGGGGGTAGGTGTTGGTTGAAGATGGTCCAGCTAAGCAAATCCTCACATGTGTTCTGAATGGTATCCCTCCTCCTACCACGAACTGGATGATAAATGCCCAATGCCACTAGGTTTTAGACTGGAAATGGAACCCAGGTTTGTGGTCCATCTTCCTACTGTCTGCTGGATGTCAGTTCTTAGCAGATCTAGTGTTGGTTATAGCTGGATGCAGCACATTTATTCCCATTTGTGTATGGTCAGGTATCCTCCTTGTACTGCAGACTGGAAGAAACATACCCAATGCTGTCAGGTTTTGGACAGAAGATATTATCCCACCTGGGCTTTCTACCTTCCTGCCATCCACTGGATGTTGGTTCATAGTGGATCAGCTGCTGGTTGGGTTGGAAATGCATGCAAGTGGAGATAGATTTTGGTATGGAAGCTCGTCCTCCTTACCAATTCTCATTTCGAGGTAGGTAATCCTCTACCTACCATGGAACTGATGTACAATTCCAGATGCTGCCAGGTGTTGGATGAAGTCGAACTACCACTACGGTCTGTTGTGCCCTAGCCACTTGACACCTAGGGGTCCAATTAATAGGTAATACGTATTATGGGATTCCTTCATGTTTTCCCACCTTTTATGTTCATGCCACAGTCACAAAAGGGCAAAGAGTATACCTAGATAAGATGTGAAGCAGTCTCCCACTGTGGTGTGATATTTTCTTTTCTGGTTCCACACCGCATGGTCTCTCTTTTGGTGCTTCCTAAAGGGGGATAATTTTTTCACCAGCCCTCTACCAGTTCAATGTGAGATTATAGCCATTTTATGAGAGGAGGTAAGATATTATATCGGAAATTAACATTTTCCTAAACTGAAAATGTATTTCTGATAGACACTTACCTCCCCTCACATTTCCCACCCAGCCTCCTCACTTCCAGTGATATGTGGTGTAGGTCCTATGACCAATCTTGAAGTGATTAATGGGTGCAAATGTGGAGACGGCACTGGTTATGATAGGGGCTGTGTTGCATTCCTATTGGTGGAGAGCTACTGCATAATCACTTACATGTGGATATGCAGAAGTGGGAGATAGAAGGCTAGTGGCGAGCAGTGAAAATTTGTGCCAAAAGTGAGTGGAGGTAGTGTCTATTGGAAATATATTTTCAGTTTAGGAAAATGTTAATTTTCATATTATTTATGTTTTCACTTGGGTATGGTAACTTATAGGTTTAATTGTAAGATATTTTGATGCAGTGTTTTTTAATTAACTGAAGCTGTGAGTTTTCATGGTTGATTAGTTAAACTTCTATGAATTTTATTAACTTGTATGACATACAGACAAGACATGTTTTTGTTTATTTGCCATAAGATTTGTGAGACATTGTAGGTTTTACAGTACTTTAAATATTTGATTAAACGTGTGAGATTATAAGATTATAACTTGACCACTGTACAATGAGGAAGCTAAGTAATATGCCAGTTTAGTTTCATTACTTATATTACTAAATTGTAGTTAAATGTGAATTTTTTACATTGAACACTGGAGCAATAGTATTTATTATTTTGTGTTGTGTGACTATAGGTATTAGTGGAGAAGCTACTTTGTTGCTGTAGTGGAGTGAAGACTATTTACCTTTTGTTAAGGTCTAAAGGAGGACGTAACTCCAGGATGCGTCTTGAAGAACTTCTAAATGCTGAGGTGAGTCAGAGGTTTTACTTTTAGATACACATCTGTAGGAGTGACATCACGAACATAAATTTCAACTTAGATTAGATTTATCAAAATCCTCAAATGACCATGCTTATCTATTACTGACTTCAATAAAGTGGGTCTGACATGGCCTGGTGGTTAAAATACTTGACTTGAAGTCTGCAGGTTGGGGATTGATTGAACCCCATCACAAAACATGCTCAACTTTTCAGTCATATGGACATTTTAATGTGATGGTCAATTCCACTATTCATTGGTAAAGAATAGCCCAAGAGTTTAGAAGTGGGTGAAGTTGACCAGCTGCCTTCCTTCTAGTCCATTACTTCCAAATTATGGACAGCTAGTGCAGATAGCCCTCAAGTAGCTTTGCAAGATATTCAAAATACAAACAAACCATCAGAAAAGCATGTGAAATGGAAAGGAACATCTCGGGAAGGATTTTGATAACATTTCAATAGAACCACATCCTATTCATATAACATCAGTTTCATGAACATTAATCCTTTAGGGTTAATGTTTTGCTTTATTAATCTTCTCACAAAGCTCAAAAATTCCCAGCTCTGTAAAGTTTTTTTGAGAACTTAGTATCCTCCATTTAGTTTTATATATGTAACAATATTTAATGTATGAGAATAATTATTTATCACTTTAAGTTTCAAAACTAACGAGCTTTTGGGTAAACTGGGCCTTTTTTTAAAAACAAAATAAAATTAACCATTAATGTGAAAGCCAAAGTCTTGCAGTAGTATTGCTGGATATAAGCAATTGCTCAGGGCCATGACTAGAACATTTTCATCTGATCTTTGACTTTTGCCTGTTTTAGTACTGTACTCATATAAATCATAAATGTTTTCAATTAATATGATCCAAAAACATATCACTCAGTAACAGACAGATATTTCAAAATGGCAGCAGCAATACACTTTTCTATCAGGCATACATGTGTAGTTCATGTACTGCTTAGTTGCTGAGTGCAGTACACCCACAGTGTGTATGATTTGAGAATGATACTGAGGCAGCAGTGTTAGTGTGTGAGTGTATTAGAATGTGCTATGTTGGTGTATTTCTTCCTTTGTGGGAACAATGCAATTAGTCTTTTTCTTATTTAGGTCCCCCAATGGGTTAGAAACCACCCTTTGTTAAAGACAAAAAAGGTATATATATATATAACATGTTTTCACTTCCTACAAATGAGGACATGAATTATCTGAAAAAAAGGTTAACTATAACTTGTATTATTTGTTATTTCTCTATAAATACCTATTTATATATACGTTTTGTACAGTTGCTTTTAAAGTGGTCTAAAATTTATATAAATTCGTTTTTAAAAATATTAAAATACATTCATTTATATATAAATGTTCTTGTTGTTTTCTATACTATTTTTTGATAAAGATAATTATACAGAAACACCTCTATTCTTTAACTGACATAATGTACATGATGAAATCTTTCAACTGATCATAATTTCAATATGGCTTCTATTCAGGGGTTATGTTGGGGCAGAATGGTCCATAATGAAGTGTGGCTCTTATCAGTTAGTGTTTCTGGTCTTCTGATTGGAATGTGAAAATGGATCATAAATCGAAGATCCACCTCCTCAAAATCCCATTTTAACCACTTTTTGTATTAATGATGAATAATTCTTTTTCTTTCATTATGATGTTTACAGATTTTTCGTAACATTAGGAAAAAACAACCTCACTTGCTATCGAAACTGGTTCCTGTTCATGGAGATATCATTCTTCCTGGGTTTGGTTTACGACCTTCAGATATGACACTTATTGCAAATGAAGTTTCTGTAGTTTTTCATTCTGCAGCTACTGTGAAATTTGATGAGCCTCTTAAGTGAGTACTTTTGAATTTGTATCAGAATTAAAATAACAACTGTGTGAAACAGTTCCATATAAGCACAAAAACAAAATACAATATATTTTAAATTAAGTACATGCATAACTTAAAAGAGAACTGATAAGGTCATGAAACGTTTGATTATTCTCTCTACTAGGACTAAACTAAGCTATCACTATTTTATCAAATATTTGCAAATCAGCATTGGATGATTTAGCACTATATACTATATAAATATTATTCTTATATTTATGAAAAAACACATGAATGATATTAAGTGATTTTATAATATTTTTGTAAGTATAATATAGAGAATATTATATAATTATATAAAAAATTTTGTGATTTATTGTGTGAATTTTGTTGTGGAAACATATAAGATATGAGTTTATTGCAAGTAAAAACATAGAAATAATTTAGTTTATGATTCCACAGTGACTTCTTTTGTATTTGAAAATTCAACTTTTAATATTCATGTTACTTTACAGGCGTTCTGTAGAGATGAATATAATAGGTACCCGTAGACTTGTAGAAGTCTGCCACAAAATGCCACTTCTAGTGGTGAGTTTTACTTTTATATTCAGCAGTTTTAAGATTTTTAGAATTCTCAGTTTAAGTATTGTCCTATAAATATTTTGAAAATATTATAAGATGTTGGATGTAGTCTGTTTTCATGATTAGAAAGAAGGGACTTACATAACTTTGGGATTATGTAAAACAAAAATAACCCTCAATCTTTGTGTCATTCATACTAAAGTGATATATTTCAATGTACTATACTATATAATGGTAACTCCAGAAGTTGGCATTTTTGTTTGTCAGTTAACAGGTCTGTGTATTCCTTAGTTTATAATATTAACTATATTACCATGCATGAACATAACAAATTTAGTATTTGGTATAATACTCTAATATAATATGTATAAAAAATTCAACTTGAGCTTGATATAGGCTGATTATAGTCATTATAGGTTTCTTATCTTTTAAAGAATGCCTCTATTATTTATCATTCTAATTGCCTTGTGACTGGAGTTATGTTTTTATTATAATATCTGTAAATGTAGAAAATTTTTGCTCTGATATAATTTATTTTTAGATTGATCCAATTAGGAAACATCTCAAATACACTTTTATTGTTTGTACATCCCTTATGTTCATACCTAAGTTTGCTAATGATATTTCTAATCAAAAGTTATACAAGTCATATTTGAATAAAATTTTTACATTAGAATTTTGTTTTCGTTTAGGTTGGATAAGTAATTATATTTTAAAAAGCAATAACACTTGAAATCTTAACTTTTTGTGTTTAAAATGGTGAGAAGAAACTTTTTTTTTTTTACATAAAACTTGTTCACTCTGTATAACTTGAAATTAGTTACAAGTCTGTTGTGTTTATGTCATGACGAAATATTTTTGAAGGAAAATGACTCATTATGTATAATTGGAAATTAATTGCAAATGTGTCATGTATAAATTAGGAAAAATTATACTATTTCTTGTATAGAACCTTGTATTTATAACTAATGGAAAAAACAATTTTTCTATTGAGAAATGGGTCACAATATAAATCCTGAGATTACTAACAAATAACATGTATTTAAACTATAGTTTCTTAAAGACAACTTATTCACTGTTTACACTGACCTGCCAAAATTATTTCAACATGTAGTGTTATCCTTGTCCTGAATAATTACTCTTTAGCTTGCACAGCATGCTTAACCAGTTCTAACATATACCTGGAATAATATGTCTGAGTTGTTTTTTTCAGCTGCTATTTGCTGGAAGGTTCTATTCTATATTTGTTCTACCTTTTCAAATTATTTCTTTCACATTATCCTAAAGATGTTTTTATAGGGCTAAAATCTGAATTGAAGGTGGGCTATTCTAAAATTTTGATACTGTTACATTGGAAGTTGGTGTGGATTGAACATGTTTTATGATAACGAATGCTATTCTGTTTGAAAAACATATTGACATGCTGACAAAATAAAATTTACCATATACTCTGAAATGTATTAATTTAAAATTTCAAAATATTCACAAGCATTGTGACATTCAGACACTATACACACGGATTCTATGCTCAATGAACAGAGTGCAGCTCACATTTTGAAAAGTTACACAATAAACCATCACAGACCTAATATGGCACACACTACACAATATTATACTCCTTCAACATTACACACGACTACTTTGGATGCAGTAAATTACCGAAAATGTGTTGCAGAAATAATTTGAGACAAATTTTCACAATACCATTTATTGAAAATTTCTCATATTCTGGCAGCTATTTTGGCTGTTCTGTATACTTCTACATGCTGTTATTATCAGTTGTTCATAATATTGTTGGATGGGCTCAGGTTCAATAAATCTTGTGTGACCAAACATTGCTATTAATTAAAGTATAGAAATTTCTACACTTCTAGCAGTTAATTATTTATACTTTCTCAAATTCACACTATTTCAGCATTTTGCACTTCATTATGTGAACTAGTAATAACCTACATATCTTGTATGTCTCTGTATTTACTCTCACATACTGGAGTAACAGTAAAACTTTCTGTGCTGGCAAAACAACTAAATCCCAATAAATATATGGCCTTTGAATTGTATATACACAAGTAGGTTGCATCTCAGGCATTTAATTTGTTTACAGTTACCAGCCACTTATCAATTATCTGGTGGCATATCTGAGTCATAAAAATATAATTGATATATTACTTGGAGTTTATGATGCAGAGATGCTATATTTCTTATAATTATTTTCTTTTTTAAGTGAAAAAATAATAAGAGTACAGGAGAGGCACTTCGGTCTGATCCAGCCCCCACTTCACCACTGTTCTCACTGAATTCCCTTGTAAAGCATGTTGTGTATGCCAGCCATGTTGTACATGTTGGCTGGGAAGTATGTGTGCTGCTATTATTTACAAGTCTGTTGAGTATGCAATACATAGATACCTACTTATTCTGGAAGAGAAGTAATTAGCTATGTATATTGGGAAATTACTTATAAATATGTAAATTTCAAACTATGAAGGACAAACTATTTGTTTTTTAGAACTGAGTTAGAATGTATATTCTAGAGTTGTTTCTCTGTATTGGATCTATAATAAGGAAACTGTTTCTTTCAGGCACTGATTCATGTTTCCACAGCTTACTGCAATTGTGACAGGGATGAAGTGGATGAGATAGTTTATCCACCACCAGCAAACCCACAGAAGGTTATTGATGCCCTAGAGTAAGTAAAAAAAATAAGATACCAATAGAAGTATTAACAATTTTAGCATACAGTACTGAAATAAAGAAGAAGCTCCAACTTTGTGGTATAAATGAGTGAGAGTAATAAAGCAGGCTAAAACTAAATGTAGATCTGACTCCAGAATAAACATTATCATTAGAAATATTTAAAGAACCTTACAATTTATTCCACAATATATATATATACACAAACACACATGTACAAGGTATTTGTATTTCTTTTAAAGACATTTAGATTTTGTAACATTCAAAATGGCATGTGCAAATCAAAAAACCATTACTGAAAATAGTAATTTCATTGATATTGGTGAATATGGTATGTTAAATGTCTTGCTATCAAAGCAAAGTGTTTATAGAATGAAATACCAGCTTTTGTTTATGTACCTTTAGTAAGAATTACATACAAGAACATTACGTTTTGTACCGTCCATTTCACTTAGATGGATGGATGAAGATCTGGTGGCATTAATCACTCCAAAACTTCTGGGAAATCGTCCTAATACATATACTTATACCAAAGCCCTAGCTGAAAATATCCTTGTTGAGGAATGTGGCAGTTTGCCTGTTGCCATCATTCGACCATCTATTGTAACAGCAGCATGGAAAGATCCCCTTCCAGTAAGTTAAAAAAAAATTAATTTCTTTCCAGTCACTCTTAGTGTATGAGAATTAACGTTTTGATTGCTAGACCAAATGTAAACTGTTTCTGAAATTATTCAGCTGGCTTTTTTTCTACAAATTTGCATTGTATTTTCCATGTTAATTTGCTGTCTTACATGTATGTTATAGGAATTTTTAGATACTTAACAGCATGATAATTTAAAATCTTCATTTGATTATAAATTGATATAACAATTATTTAATTAAAAATAATATGTTCTGTAAGTATCAGAGCTCTATTAACATAGAATTGCTTTAGTGAAATAAAAAGAAAATTGAAATAAATGTTTCCTTCTTGGAAAAATGTGTTTGAGACCTATGTGAGGTACCTGGTTAGGTCACTTTGAGTTCACCAATGTCATTGCTTGGAATACAGTTTTGTTTGCAGTGCTCAGAACTGGTGATTATTTGAATTTAATATATGTTACATATCCAGCCCAAATTTTGAGATGGAAGATTTGTTTTCTTTAGGGATGGATTGACAACTTTAATGGACCTTCAGGCCTCATTGTAGCAGTAAGTGGAATGATTATCTTTCATTTTTGTTCTCTAATGTCTTGATTCTTACAGTTCAGGCAGATGTAATTCATGAAAGTTTCAAATTCAATACAGGAATGGTTGATATTTTGATCTTTTTGCAGAGACCTTCATCAGGTATTAAATAACTAACTTACAATATAATAACAAAATTACTTTCACAGAACAAGAAATCTTGTTGTTTCCACTAAATTTATTATTATATATGATATACATTTTCTGCAAATGTTATGAAGATTGCTTTAGACAGAATTCTGATTTAGGTTATATAATGATTTATAAACTACATTGAAACATGATTTATTAAATTGAGTATTTGTAAAAAAAAAGCCCATTCAGAAATTCTACTTTATTTCTTATCAGTGATATGAAATTATCAGAATAAATTGATTGAGAATACTGGATTTTATATCAACATGTAAAAAACCAAGCATTTGTAAGCAAGTCAGAACTGGTAATGGAGCTAACATTTGTAGATGTTGACAATCAAAATATCTTATAGATCAATTAACTAGTTCAAAACACACACACACACAAGAAACAAAGAATGAAAATGAATTAGATTTAGTGTGGAATAGATAAATTTTCTATGTATATTTTAAGTTGCCCCATTCTACATAATTGAAACTTAAACTGACATAGTTTATTAGTTATATCTTTAAAGTAAAGAACTTTTTGTGTACTTTTTTTTTCACAAAAGAAGCTGCGGTTGTCACAACTGTAAGAATTACTTTCACATAGTGTATTCTAAACAAGTCTATATTTCTTGATACAGACAGGAAAGGGTGTATTAAGATCAATGTTGTGTCAACCATGTGGAACTGCTGACCTTATACCTGTTGATGTGGTTATCAATCTTGTAATCAGTGTTGCATGGTATACAGCCACAAAAAGGTAATGTAATTCTAAACATGGCTGCCAGTATTGTGTTCTGACTATCTCTTCCATATCTTTTCCACTCTCAGGTAAAATATAATTCAAACAATTCATTCTGTATATGACTGTTTTTAACTATACACCTGGAAAAAAGTTAAGCACCCCCGTGTTTTTTTCAAGTGATTCAGATTCGACGTTCT